AAGCTACATTAAACCACACTTACTTGGCTGCAGTGTTCTCCAGGTTGCCAGACAGTGGAAGGTCCTGAAACACTGACTGTAATAGTCCAGTACTGTCTGACAAACTTTCATTCTGCTGCTCATCTACAGGGACACAATAAATAAAGCAAATTACGTCACGTGGTGTATTCCAGCCTTTAAAATGAATTTTTAGTACACAGGTGAATTAATGTAGTGATGATGTTTTCTGCTGTCGCACATGGATTCATTTGAGCATTATGAAAGTTGCCTGGAAACAGTTCACAGCGGCAATCTCATTATTACGGTCCCTGTGATAAAAAAATGAATGCAGCATTTCACAAGAGATGAGAAGAGACTTTTTGCCAATATACTCTACTAGTTGTCTGATATTACACAGCTCTTACTAGGAGCACTTCGGTTACATTTATCCAAACCTGTAAATGCCTTATACAAAGCAACGTGCAAATAAGGGACCTCAAAAGCAACATATCATAAGATCCACCAACATTTACAGAACACAATGGCAAGTTTATAAGAGTTGTAGGTTAATGAAAAGAAGCTACGTTATAAAGTCAACATGAAAAGGAAATTATTGGAATCTTGTCATTTGCTAACTAGTGCATATATCTTCAGAGAAGAGATGCCACTGCAAGTTTATACAGAGCTCAGATAGAAACCAACCATCCTGGGTCATCACAAAGTGTATGAGATGGGGCAGCAGATAACGCAGCAGGGGACTGATGTCATGAACTGTTGCTATACTCTGGAGAGTGGACACCAGGGTGGGGATAGCACACATGTATCCAAATGCCCTAATGGGAAAAGACAAAAGATTATAATAATATTTTAGATGCCATTTGAGAAAAAGCACTAGACTAGACTTTAACACATCTTATACAACTACTAATTTAGTGTGACATGGAGTTGGAAAATCACTAAAACTTACTTTGGACCAACAATTCCTTCTTTCTGGTTCTGCAAGAGGATGACAATGCAGCTCAAACCCTCTCTGGACAGCCGAGGCATTCGACGTAGAGACTTGCACAACTGAACAGTCAGAGAGTCAACCAGCTGAGCCTCCATTACTACCTTCACTGCCATCTGACACACAATCATGTAAGTGGCAGCCACGTAGTCTAAAAGGTTAGATTTCAGTCCCTGGTTATGGGAAAGAAAAAAGCAGACATTTATTTAGGTTCGGTTGCATCCTTTCTTGGTCCTGGAACAACATTCCTATCGAATAATGTTTTTATGCACTTCCATTTGGTGACAATATTCAGGTGTAAAATGTGGTAGACAAATATTTCAGCCAATTACAATTAAGTCAATTACATATAAACACAACGCATATCTGCAATACATCACTGCTAGATATAGATACTGGGATCACTCACTGACTACGTTTACATGCACATCCCAATATTAAATGAAATTTGGCAATATTCGATTAGTTTAATATTAGGAATATTTTAAACCATGTAAACACTGCATACAATATTCTGATTCCCCAAATTCCAGTTTTCACTCCTGGAATATCCCTGTTTTAACTGTAAAT